TATATATTAAAATTCACAAACTTAAATTAATTTATCCATATTAAGATTTAAAAAAAGAGTTAAATTAAATTCGAATTTTTCGAGTAATTTCGAGTAATTTTTGAAAGAACGAGCTAAAAATTATGTATCCACGCTAATCGTTTCTCTCTCCCTCTAAGGCATTGCGTATCGACCGAAAGAACGGCGATTCCTCTACCCCGTGGACTCGGATATGGCAGTAGTGGCGCTGCGGATCAATCGGACCAGCCGGCACCATCCGGGTACTGTATTGTCTTTACTATTTCTATTCGATATTTTTCGCGAACGAAACATCTCGACTCGCTCGCGCATGCACTTCTCGCAAAGCGAGGGAAAAATCATGGTGCAAAGATCGGGATCGCGACCGTGACGTCGACGAGAGTGAGGACACCCTTCGGGGATGGGATGCGTGACCCTTGCCCGAGGTGATCGCAGAGGGTTGCGTCGACCAGCCGAGCCAGAATTCTCTCATCATTCGCGCGTTCGTTCATTTCCTTTTTATTCTCTCGCAAGTCAATCACGACTGTTTTCACTCGCCGAACTGTATGATTCGCGACGCGAATCGAGGGCTTCTGATACAATCCTACATGCGATTGTACGTGCGACTTGTCGGCATATAAGTGCGAGAAACTTACCTCGTAATTCCATCACAAAATCTAATTAATTGTACAGAGATTGTTGGGAATATTATAATTAGTTAATTATCGGTCTATACAGTTTACACAGAATTTACATTTTCTTTCGGATCACTCTGTATCTATAAACGTTCTACTGATTAATTAACTTTCCATAACGCGAGAATTAATGTCGACAAATAATTCTACATTTAATAAAGTGCTCGTTTAAATATTATTAACATTGTCTAATGCAAGGGTCAATCTCTTTAAATCAAAATATATTTTAAGAATTTTATGAAGAGATTAAAAAAATACAATCAATATTTGTCGCATTTATGAAAAATTTAATAAGTTTTAATACAATTTATTATTATAAAATTAACATTATACACTTTAAAATGCTATACATCTGGTCGTGCGTTGCAACTTTATGAAAGCAAATTATTTGCTTACTACATACATTACTTGTTTATTAAATCTTTTTTGTGCCACATGTCTGAGTTATTAAATATTTTATGTTACGTGTCTTTTAACATCAACAAAGTTTTTCCGGGAGATTATTTATGATTCAGTATTCCGGATCGCTTGTGCGCCAAATGACATATCACGTCACATCACAACACACACTGCCCATATTTATAAAATAATCAAAATAGAATTATTGTCTTAAACTTTTTCTCATATCTCAGCGCAATATCACGAAAAATCATGAAAATGATTAAAAAATCTATTGATAATATCAACATTTTTATTAATATTTTATTTTAAATTAATATTTTTTGTTGAAAAAATTAAATTAGTTAAACCCCAATTATCAGGTAATTACTAATAATTTACATGTTTTTTAAACGATAAAATTTATTTTGCTTCAGAAAGTATTTATAATTTCATTTGACTAGTCTTTCTTCCTAAGTCTTTGATTGCTATTTGTGCTTCTCTCTTCTCGATACTCATATATTTAATTTAAAAATTAGTCATATATTTATTTGATCGATACATAATCGTATTTTATGAAATCTAAAGCGACGCTGCTATCAGAATTTTAACCGGAAAGGACAACCTTGACGAAGTTCCACGGTTCATCTCTTTATCTCTAATTCAATATTGGCTAATTAAGTGAGAAAACCGGTAGATAAGAGCCAAGGCGCGGGTATCGGTGCGCGAACTTATTATTGTTAAATTTTATTAACAAATGTGTATTAAAAATGTACGTTTTGAACAGTTTTTTGGTCCATAATCTTCAGCATGAGTATAAATATATAAAGATTAAATTGGAATTATATAACTCGACATATACAACATTTGTTGTTGCAGTCAAATTTCAAATTAAAAAAATAATCAAAAAGAAATTAAAAAACAAATATAATATAATGGTCATATTGTAAATCACCGACGATATATGTGTGGCGATGGCATTTGGACGTTGTCCACTTATTTGTACAAATTCTACGCGGGATTTAGTGAGCCTTCCTTTCTGATTATCAATTTTGATTTAAAATTTGACTGCAATAACAAATGTTGTGTATGTCGAGTTTTAAAATTCCAGTTTAATCTTTATATATTTATATCTATGCTAAAGATGGACCAAAAAACGGTTCGAAGCAAACATTTTTAATGCACATTTGTCAATAAAATTTAATAATAATAAATTTGCGCAACAATATCGGCGCTTTGGCTCTTATCTGCCAATTTTCCCATTTAATTGTTTGAACCTTAAGCCTACTGCTGTTATTATTCTGCTGTTAATATTGGCTTGGTAATGCACTGACAATTTATGCACAACAAATGTTTGACGGACGAACGTAAAACCGTTCTCACTTATTGTTAGTTTTAACATCGCGAACGCTTTATCGGGATGACTCTTTTTCGACGCAACGGAAAAAATGACTCAAAGAAATGACTCATGATCTAACGAAATGTCAATTATCGTTAATTATTTTCTTATATTTGTTAGGTCCATTGATATAATATTTTCTTGTATAGCTTAGAATTTTTAATTTTAGCTTTATTTTGTATGTAAAATTCTAATTCTTTACCATATAATGTATTACATTATGTTTGCAAAAAATTATTATCATTTTAATTTATCATTTTAATTTTATCATTTTAATTTTATTATTTTAATTGTAAATTTAATATAGATATTTTTTTTATTTTTATTAGTGGTAACTTCGTATATCACATAATTACGTACCCCGTGTAATTACGTGACCATCTTATGCACATTTAATTTTAATAATAACAGCAATAGGCTTCAAGGTACGAACAATTAAATGGGAAAATTGGCAGATAAGAGCCAAAGCGCCGATATTGGTGCGCAAATTTATTATTATTAAATTTTATTAACAAATGTACATTAAAAATGTACGTTTCGGATCGTTTTTTGGTCCATCTTCAGCATGGATAAAAATATGTAAAGATTGAATTGGAATTTTAAAACTCGACATACACACCATTTGTTATTGCGGTCAAATTTCAAATTAAATAATTTATATATATATTAAGCAGAAATAAATTACAAAACTAATATAAAATTGTGCAAAGAAAATTCCGCATGCAAAATATCGGTGCATATGACAAAAAGTTTTTATGTTTCCAATATGTCTCCGCCGAGATTTCTTCTCCGTCATTGGAGAAGGAGACCGCAAAACGCAGCTTTCATTCTCGATCTGGATTATAGTGTCGGTCGTTACATCTATTAACTATTATTTATATAACATATTATTAATTTTTTCGTAGATTCAACGTTCGTGGATTGGTAAAATAATGAATGTAACTTTTATTTTTGTTGAATTTCGAAATGATAATACGACTTTTGTTTCCGTCGAGTTTCGAAGTTGAAAAATACACGCGCGAAAATTCGTATTGAATCTTTATGTATGTATCAATATAATCAATTTTTCGCAGATTTATTATCGGATTTACAAAAGCTGAATAATTCGATTATAAAAATTAAACTCTTTACAAAAAGACCATTTTATAAACATTTTTATAAATAAAGCTAGCTCGATAAGTAGCAATTTTTTTAATGGATAATGCTCTGGAAGGTATGTAAATTATGGGAAAACTTAAAATTGAAAAATTACGTAATTAAAATAGACGCGCTGTTTGCAAACTGATGATTTGCATACAATAAAATTCACCGATTGGCAAATTGCAATTGATTTGCAAAGCACAATATAACATTAATTCTGGGTCACTGCTTCAGATCATAAGAATGAGAAAAACACATTTTCTATCAATCGAACTATTGATTTCGAAAAAGCGAGTTGCGTTATGATTTCAATTTTTGTGTCACTTCCGCCAGAGCTGCTTGCTCTTCACGTGAGAACCGTAGGGAAGGGGGCTCATCCTTTTGCAGTTGTGCTTTTTAGGACAATTGCCACGAATGAAGGGTAGAGGGAGGGGGAAGTTTCGTTGACGGTTGTCGTTTTACACGGCGCGAAGCTGATAAGTGGGACATACGCTCCAACATCTCGGTATTTCGTAGTGAACTCGCTACCAGATCGGACCCTCCATTCAGGAAAGAATCGTCGCAAGTCTCCGTGTCCAATATCGAACTCGCTATCGTGATCCTCGCGGGAAGTAAGCTGCGATCCCATCCACATTCGCCCGTAAGTTGTCTGATCTATTATCGCGAGCTTTTCTGACTTTTTGAATTTATAATACGCCATAATGCGTGACATAATGCATTACATTCTTAAATATAATTACCGTCTTAGACAAAAAGATATGAGCAGTACACAAATTTTAGATAGTTGGCGGCGAATTGGTTGCTATCGATAAAGTTTACACGTTGAGATGTTTCTCTCCAAAATCTGATCGCAAAATGCTAATTTAAATTATTTAATTGTAAAATAATATTTGCATGTCTAGATTGTAATATGGCAAATAAAAAAAAAAAAAAAAAAAAATTGGCACGAACATAATTGATCGTAAATTTTATGATAAAATCTCTCTGTTCGACATTTTCTCTATATTACTTCTCTGACATGAGTGTACGATATATTTAAAGTAAAGTCCTTGTTACTGACTATCAATACACTGCAGTTTTAAAAGAGAATAGAGAGAGAGGGAGAGAGAGAGAGAGAGAGAGAGAGAGAAGAGAAAAGAGAAGGAAAAAAAACGAAAAAACATTCGTTCCTTTCGTCGCCTTCCAAATGGGCGAGTAACGGATGCTCTTCAGTTAACAAATAGAGAATCTTTAAATATACACGACAATTGTTTGTCGAACAATTCCGTTGTGACACAAATTGATACTCAAAATGCCTGATTATTTTCAATGTACGATTATACATATCTCCTATTATGTGACTGTAATTTCGAAAAGATGCGGAGCGTGAAGACTTTTTCCCTAAAAAAACTAAAACTCTCAAAAGTTTTTGGAATCGAAGAATCTATAACGCAACGAAAACGTGATCATTATTTATATCGCATTTTTTAAATATTTGACGTTATACAGGCTTGCAAGTAAGTCTTAAATAAAAAAATCTGTTAAAAAATTTCTTGATTAGACAAGATTAAACAAAAAAGTTCGTTATCTATTTTTCCTTCTAAAGTTTAGTTAGTTCAAAACTATTTTTACCTGATCTTAATTTTATTTGAAATTTCTTAGTTCGAATCTTCTTCAAATGTTGACTTTGTAAATTTACTTTGTATGCGGCTCGACATTTTCGTTGACAGATATCGATTGGCAGATTTCAAAATCGGTCAAAGAATCTATAAGACTATCGCGAATAATTTTAGGATGCTTTGTGTAAGCACATGTATATATAACGCATAATTTTTTTTTTATTTTCGCATTTCTTCGATTGCATCTAGAAAGAGGTTCAAATCTTCTCTTTTCTCCGCTGATGTTTAAAATTTTCCCATTTGTTGCGCCAACAAATATGTACGGCACACTTATTGGAACTATTGTCCTGCTTATCAGAGCGGGATCGAATAGAATCTCGTGGAGACTCTCCTAATGGGCACAGTACATGCTGTATAACATAATCGTTGTCACGTGAACGCCGAAATATTTCGCTGTACACGTTGACATTCTCAATGTGTTTCGTGCTTAGTCGTTGTTTTGTTCATATTCAAAGCCTGTGATGTACAGAAGAATAAAATGCGTAATTGAGCATCGAATTTCTTACATAAGTTAGCTCGGATTTTCATTTCTGACGTTCAAAGTGTCGACGATCAAAAAGCACAAAAAGTTATATATTGATATGTAAATTATATATTATAATGACTTTTAAATTTATGCAACATATGTATCTCTATCCTCTACGGCACATTTTCTTAAACGGCTGCCCTGCTTATTAGAATGGAGTCGGATTTCCTGAAAACTCGTAATGGACCCAATAAATGTATATAACATAATTTATTATGTAAACATTGAAATATTTTGTTATACATGTTCTATTTTTAATCGAATATTCAATATCTTTATTAAAATGGGGAGATAAAATGCATTCTTGTGAGCATCAAATTTCTTATATTAGTCAAGTCAAATTGCTCAGACGTTTACAATTTTAGCAAGCGAAAAACAGAACTATGCAAAAAAATCTTATATTTACATAATAAAAAATTTTTAATTTATGCAACACACGCATATATTTCTCTCTCTCTTTCTCTTTCTCTCTCGCTCTCTCTTTTGCTTACCGCTCTCTCTCTCTCTCTCTCTCTCTCTCTCTCTCTCTCTCTCTTAAATTATTAAGCTATCATCCATAATATGCAACAGCAATTTGTGTCTTTATCAGAGTTTCTGAGAAAAAGCTCATATAAATTTTTATTAAATATTGTGATTTCATATTTTTTGATAGATGAGATAATGCAATGACTTTTTATTAAATAGGATAACCTTGTTAACATATTTTGTGTACAATTAGCACAATATAGTTTCGAGACGACACACAACAAAATGCAAAATGCGGCAGTTAAGGATTAAAGCGGCAGAGCGGTTTACGCGAATAGAGAGAGAGAGAGCAATTTCGCTGCAACATAATTACATTGCAACACGTGCTCGAGTTTCGTTTGTATGCAATCCGTACAACTAAAAGTAAAATTATGAGGAAATGGAGAAAGAAAGGCAAAGTTACAAAAATAAAATACTGATATAGAAGGAAAATAAACTATCGTTCATACGGCGAAAACTAACGCGTTAGAGATATATATATATATATAACATTGATTTTTCTCGATTATTCATGCATTTATATTATCATAGTCTCTATTAATTACTTTGAGAATAAAGCGTTTATTTAAAATAATTGCAATTAATTTTCGAACGCGATATTTTTTTTCTTAATGTAACCCAATATCGTGAGAAATGCCGCAAAAAAATGATTTATGAACGACAGTTTGGATTTGTTGATAAAATGAATGAGCTAAACCGCAACGATACATTCGAAATGCAATTGTACCGATTTCGTTCTGTAATTTTCACGCGCATTGCTTTACGCAATTTGCAGTCTCGTAATCGTGTTATGTATGGCGAAGGACATAAAAGACTGTTAGAGGAAACAATGAGAAAATTTTCTGTTATTCCTTGAAGACTTCTGTCTCCGAGATTATGTCCTTGTGGATTATTATACATATTTTATATACAAAAAACAATAACTATGTTGAATAAAGATATAAAGTTTCGATGTGTTATATGAGCGAGTCGAAAAATGTGCAAAAAATAAAAAGGAGATGATTCCTCGTGCCAAAATAAATCGAAAATGTAGAATAAAATTCTTTCGAGACTTTACGTTGAATAAATCAAATAGACGCGTCTTAAAGATAACTTGTGCGATAGTTAACCGATGCTACGTGTAGCAGCAAACGTTTAATCTCGAGAGAAGACACCATGTGCCATGGGATTAGTAGGTCACGCTTCTCTTTAACATTCTCAGCTTTCTTTAAACCATCGGTGAGCATTCATCCTCGATTTGAAAAACCATTTAATGCGTTATCAATAATCAATAACATCTAAATGCTCGATCAGAAAATCACTTCTTATATTTTTTTAATTTCTGATTATTCAATAATTATCAGTTTATCATCTTTGACTTTTTGTTATTTTTGTTTGTTTATTTTTTGTTATTTTTTGTTTTTATAAAATGTTGATATCTTTTCGATCGATCGGAATTTAAAAAAAAAAAAAAACAGGAAAACGTGCTTGCATGGTCGCACGAAAGTTTTCCATTTCTTCCGCATATCGCGACAATTGTTGTAAGCTTTTCGTACGTGACTTCTTTTATAAACTACGACAGGCTCAGCTCGGTCTGTAACCGAAAATGTAAAGTGCTACGTGATCTCGGGCTGGGTGACTCGTCAAGTGAGAATAGGAATTTCGATCCACGATTGGCAATGACCTCAAAGACGCCATTGGCCTGCTTTCCGAAGAACCTGTTCCTGTTTGCGCGCGCCGTCATTACTTATGTGTTCTTCCTCATTTCACCAACATCCCTCGTCCATTGGTCCCCTTTCTCCGCATCTTAAACGTGTTCTATCCAACTACATCATGTACCGTTTCGAAGGCATGCCGCGAGCACTTTTACTAGAAGATCTCTGGCACTCTTCTGTGCTAAGCCTACGGTATGGAAGAGAAACGCACGCATCGTAAATGCATCGTTCGGCACGTTATGAAGTCATAAGGACAGGAATATATCTTTCAGTATCTCTAGTAGCATGTAGCATTTAATTCAAAATATTCATTTTATATGATTCTTATATGTTTATTATTAATTTCGAGTTGTTTAAAAATACATTCTTTACAGATATAATATTCTATATTTGACTAGATGCATCTAGAAAAATTCAGAACTTGACTTCAAAATTTATCTATTTATTCAGGATTGATTCTTATTTTTTTTTTCATGCGTGTTTATAAAGTCAAAAAAAGTATAAAATAAAAAAATACGAGTTGTTCTATTTCAGAATGCACTTTTAACTCGTAATAGCATCTTTATAAAAAAAACTTAATTTAATTTAATATTGATTGCGTCTCTCTTTTGCGATAAATGTGGTTATCATGGAATTTCAAATTGCGCCGATTGTAAGATCGGAAACCATATGCCTTTGATAGCGCTTTCACGAGGATTATTCGTCCGTCCTTTACCGTTTGCATGACAGCGATATTGTTGCAGAAAACGAGGAGATAGCTGTACTACTGACTTATAGTCAATCCATAATTAACCCCTCAGCACGTTGGATCTTTTCTCTTTGAGTCAAAGAAGAACGGTGAAAATGACATTTGCCAATGACGTATATTGAAAAGCAAAATTGAATATGCCAATCAAAGACGATAGCAAGCAATAAACGCGTCTATTGGACTAATTAACTTATAGAGGCAAATACAATCAAGAGGATAATAATTGTATTTGCTATTTTAAATATAGGCCTTGCTTTATAGCTGATTCTATGATAGATAATGGTTATCACGCGTGGCTGATAAATTTCTTTCAGTCCATTTTAGACATCTCGTTTTTTTATTTAGAAATCCAAAGATATGCACTAATATTCTTATACTAATTATATGCCTTTCTCTTTGATAGCTTCGTAAAGTTTGAAAGCCTCTTATATATAGCTATATTATCATCATAAATTAGATAGTTAAATAAGAATTTATGACACACCGTTACGAAAAAGAGCATAAGTTTCTTTGGAAATAATACATCAACCTACATTACTCTGGACAAAATGTTAATATATTGGCGTCAGTCAATCATTCGCTTATACTGCATTTTTGTCTCGAATGTCTACAATGATTAACAGTTGACGTTGTACACATCATAGGTAATTCTTTAAGAGAAATACACATGAACATTTCCAACGTGATATTTAAACTTTTATATTTAATATCTGCTGTCATGTAGAAAGTATAATATATAATAATGTAATATAATATATTTTCATTTGTTCTCCCCTCTCTTTCTTAAAATTGATAATAATAGTGTATAAATAATTTACTAGCGCAGCTATATTTCTTAAGAAATATGAAAAAATTGTGAAAATGTATATTTTCGTCATAATATTATCAAGAGGATAATATTATACGCACAAAAAATCTGCAGATATCTTTAATCATTCTAGAATTATTATAATGATACTTGTGCGATGACAATCAATGAGCAGAGCTCAATCGCGAACGATAGCGAAAGTAACTTCGTAATTTTATTATTTTTCAATATAGATTCTGCTTGATTTCATTGTAGAAGCTTTATTTTTTCCTCTGATAACAGTTTAGAAGAAACTTTGAACTGCATCATCTATCGTAGATCGACATATCAAAGAAAGTAAAAAATGTTCGTTGTCGAAAATGCTTCGAAGAAAGAGTAACATGTCTCGATAAATAATCCATAACACACCTTCAATTTAATTAATAATATCATATAAATTACAAATAAATTCCAGGAAATCGTTAAAATAATGATACATTATAGTCGAATTTATCAGATGTATAATACACATATGTGGGGCACATATGTTGATATTTATCATCGATTAATGCGATGATTAAATTTTTTCACGCAGACTCCTTGATACAAACGTTCATCGCGAATCAAGTTTCGTTAAGTTACGTAGACTCTCAACGAGAGAACGCAGTCGTCGAAAGAAAGGAATTTAGAAGTAGGGCACCTACATAACTCGCGTCGTCTTCACGTCGTCAGGGTCGCAGAACGGAAAGGAGGGATGACCACTTCGTGCGTAATTAGAACGCGGCAAAAACATGAAAGCGTGTTTAGTTCGGAACATTTACTTTAAGCATCTTATCGGAACTTTCTCGTTGATACAATTAATTCAAATAAGAACTAACCGTCGAAGCTCGTTTTCGCTTCTTCTGTGAGATTAGGAATCTTATATTTGCTGCAGTATTTCGTTAACTTGCGGTTTATAATACTAGCTCGGTAAATTGGTGACGCAATATCAATGATTGAAATCTTTAAATCTCACGACGCCTTTTGAAACGTAATATTCGAGATGAAAAAATTCACAATTTTATCTAATGATTCATGATCATGACGTTTCCACGAAAATGGAAAGCGCTTCTCATAAAATGGAAATCCGTTCCCCGCTGAACCGCAATAAAATTGCGCGCTAATGTAATGTAACTGATGATTACCAGACTGCTCTGGTGCAACAATCGCGTACCGCTTCTTCGTCGCCAAGGGCCGTCACCGTCGTGTTCTGTTCTCGACCGCACTTCGCTTCGTGCACAATTCAGAAATGTCATTCTCACGAGACAGACCACGGACGCTCCTTCGATGTGTCGAAAGTCGAAGCGCTCGAAGTTTAAAAAAAAAAAATCTCTTTTCCGCGCGCATACTTTCCACACGTGTGTATATAGCACATTAACCGCACACAATATCCTGGAAAGCCGTAACGAGATCGTTCGACGTTGTACGTAACGCGCGTCGAAAGCCATTAAAGAGCCGTTAATCTTTGGCTAATGGTGCGACGTGACAATGGAAATACCGTCCCGTTATTTTATACGTATATGTGGCAACAAAAAAGAAGAAGCAGAAGCAAAATGTTCGAAATAGCCGGAAGAATGTCGAAGTTTATACCAGTATTAATATTTCGCTGATATCCCGGCTATTATTTGTATAACCAGTCAATGAAATTAACGATATACGAGTAATAATTTTTCGTTTTAACAGATAAATAAAAAAATCACAGAATATAGCAAATATTTTAACATATGAAATGCCACAAAAACATGTATTTTTTTTCTACTTTACAACGTTAAATATTCATTACAGATATTTCAGCAATATGGCGCCGAATTTATTCGGTAGCTCAGCGACTTTATTCCTCGAAGCTTCCCAGCAAGATGTATCGCAGAAAAAAGATGCGACAGAAAAAACGATGACGCAAAAAGTGCCGCTGCAAAAGACACAAAATTCGAAACCCAAATATCAATGGAAGATCGTTTGGAGAAATGTGATAGCTTTCCTTTATCTTCATTTGGGTGCGCTTTATGGACTGTATATTTTAACAGTGGCTGCCAAATTTTACACATTTCTTTGGGGTACGTCCTATTTATATATCTTTTAAAATATCTACTTAATTAATTTTTTTCTCTTAATTACAATCAATTAATTTCTAAGAATAATTACAATAAAAAATAGATAGAGCAAAAAACTGGTAGATTTCCGTGTTATGTAATTGTAATAAAAAATAATAATAATAACTGCGGGTTGCTTGTTACTTTTGAAAGATCTCATGGCGTTGTGTAGTTAAATTTAATTTAATTTCTTTTTTTTCAGTCATCATAGTCGCAGGTTTTGCAGCTGTTGGTGTTACAGGAGGTGCTCACAGATTGTGGGCCCATCGGTCTTATAAAGCAAAATGGCCAATGAGAATCATTCTTATGATTTTTCAGACCATGGCTTTTCAGGTAAATTTTCCAGCAATATCATTAAACAAACTTATTTATATGCATATTAAAAAACATTGATTATTATCCCGATGTTTAAATATATCGTTTAAATATCAAAAATTAAAAAAAAAGCATTGTTTTTATCAAGAAAGCGTTTAATAGAGAAATTAAATAAAATTAATTAAATTAAATAACATTTAATAGAAGAAAAATTATTTAAGGGGTTGTTATTATAATTGTTATTTAATTATCTAATTACATTTCGCAGAATCACATTTACGAATGGGTGAGGGATCACAGAGTTCACCATAAATTCACAGATACGGATGCCGATCCGCATAACGCGCAGAGAGGTTTCTTCTTCTCGCACATGGGGTGGCTCTTGATTCGCAAGCATCCGGACGTCATTAATAAGGGTGCTACAATCGATATGAGCGATCTCGAGAAGGACCCCGTCGTCGTATGGCAACGCAGGTACGTTAATTCGTCATTAAAAAAGGCATTGTTCTTTGAGAAAATTAATCAACGAAATATATATCGAGCTCTTATAATAGATCATTGTCCGGCATCGTCAAATAAGTTTACATTTTACAGACTGTATATTATTCTGATGCCGCTTTTCTGCTTCCTACTGCCCACCTGGATACCATGCCACTTCTGGAACGAGAAACCCATGTACGCGTGGTACGCTACCGTCTTCAGATACACGTTCTCGCTTAATCTGACTTGGCTGGTGAATTCTGCAGCTCATATCTGGGGCATGAAACCGTACGACAAGTAAGCATTATCGAAGATCTGATACGTCATGATTGATAATCCTGTTCCTATGTAAGTGGAGATAAGAACGCACGTTCACGTCGTTTTTTTTTTGTTTTTTTTTTCGTAGCACCATCAGCCCCACCGACAGTTACAGCGTCGCCATCAGCGCCTTCGGTGAAGGCTGGCACAATTACCATCATGTTTTCCCGTGGGATTACAAAGCCGCCGAGCTGGGCAACTATCGCACCAACTTCACCACCGCCTTCATCGATTTCTTTGCCTGGATCGGCTGGGCGTACGATTTGAAGACCGTAGCGCATACCTTAGTGAAGAAACGCGCTGCCAAAACGGGCGACGGTACGAGGTATAAGCGAACGACCGATCATCACAATACGCACCATCATACGCACCATCATACGCACGATGGTGCTATATGGGGTTGGGGCGATACTGATATGGCTGCTGAGGATATGCAAAAGGTCGAGATAATCAACAAAGGCGACTGAGATCCAATTTTTCTGGTATCAAGCCAGTACTGCGTAGAATATGCGTAGAATATTCGACGAAATATATCGCCGATGGATGATGTTGAAAATTGATGACATAACAATGGCAACAAAATTTATATTATTTCTTTTCGATCAACTCTCGTGCAAATTATGCAGCCGATGGAAATATCACATTTGTTGACACAAATGTGATACAAAATTTTTTTTAACATATTAAACAGAAGAACACATAATTACATAATTTGACTTTATGCATATTTAATAATTATTTCAATTTGCATTCAATAATTATTTCAATCTGCATTCAATAATTATTCCAGTCTGAAATTTTAATTGAGTATCATTTCATCTTACATCTCGTTCTGTATACTACTCTTGCATTATGAATTATTTCTATGCGAGAATTGATTTTAAAAATACGGTTTTTATACAAATTTATACAAATACATAAAAAACGATGTGTTAAAAAAAATCGCCACTAATGTCTTATACGTCAAGACAAAGACATCGTAATAGTCGTCGAATGCGCACGTTTGAAATTTCAAGAAAATTATTGCTACATTCAAAAATAATCACCCAAAGAAGAGTGATCAATCGTTTTAACGATGTCAATTAATATTTATTATATCTATAATATTACTCATGTTGTGTCTGTGTACTGTTGTTCCTCTCTTCAAATCGGCTGTTGAAAAACGTCGCGAATTTGATTAACTTACAACAAATGAGGAAAAAGAAATAAATCTTAAGGCTCGACACAGCGATTTTTTCTCAGACCGATCGGACTTGAGGATCGATCGATCCAAGTGTTTTCAATCGGGGATCTATGATCACAAAAAGCGCCTTCTACATCATTTTAAAATAATATTCTCTTAAAAAAGCTCGACTTCGTTGAAAAATTAATTAAGGTTTCACGACGTTTCACAAAAAAAAGATTATTATCAAGGATTTTGACCGAATTTACAGAGTTATTTTTTATCTATATATTATTTGACCAAATAAAGACTTGCTTTTTTCTTAAAAAAAGATCAAAAAATAAATAATTTTTATATAATTTTTTGAAACATGAAATATTTTCCGAGAACTATGCTTCTAAGATGCAAATAGATAAAATCTTATTCTCCATCTAATTCCAAGCGGATTTCAATTTAGAGAATAAACTTGTGACTTGAGAATTAGTTACATAAGCATTTAATTTTGAAGATTAAAAATTTCTAATTCTTATAATATCTTTTCGTCAAGGAAAAATATATTTCAAATTAATCGAAAGACACATAAATAAAATGCAAATGAATATTCTATATATTATCACACATCAGTTGTATCCACTCAAGAAAAATATATATAAGGCGTTGCGTGAGATGCTCATAATCAATCTAATACGAGCGAGTCGCCCAAAATAATCGACCGGCGATCCAAATTAACGTGCCGGCATTTCATACAATCATTATGTACCTAGAAATCAAATTCATTTGTGGCCTTCTGAATGACTGACTTTAGGTCGTATTAGTTTGTATCGAGACTGTTTCAAAATCTCGTGGTCAATTCTTTAATAACCATAACGCGAAAGAGCGTGTTATCGTAATCGATTTTTAACACTGTTGTATAATATCGAGTAGTATAGTTTAATAGAGAGCCTAAAGTTAATCGATAATGTGGATACGAAAACCAATGTTTATCACGCTTCATAAAAAGCGGAAATTATTAAGATGGTAAGAAATTGGTAAATATATGAAAGACAGTTAACAATTTCAAGTTTTAACGACTATTGATCACATAGATGAGTAGAAGAATAGCTCACACATTAATTTCGTATGTACAAGCAAAACTATTAAACGTTCATATCGTGTTTTAATTGACCTCTGATTTCTTCCAACATGATAAGAAGCTCATGTGTCACTTTCGCTGTCGTGATACTGCAACACCGATCGCTATTTTTCTACGTTTCTCGTTGTGATTATCACGAATGTATCACGATTAATAACAATTAAAGCTAATATTGCTTTAATATTGCAAAAATGTGAAATAAGTTCGTAACATAAAAAATACGCTTTAGAAAGATGCATCCAAAAAATCTTGTAAATTATAGATTTATTTCATTCTTAATTATAGCACAAAATATACATTCTTTCTGGTACTATAGTGCTATCAATTTGGGTTTTATCAATAGTGCTATCATTTAGCGTTGTCATATTTATCAATATTATAATAAATATATGCATTAATATGTATTAATATTGCATCGCAGTAATATTCCAGTCATAGTTGCGCGCGCGCAAAACTATTTTCGTGTCGCACTTAATACAGAGATGCATTAGAAATCGGCGATTAGCAATCGACTCTGATATAATCAATTCTATAGATGATACGATGGCAATCGGACCGCCGTATATTACTTATGTAATTAATTAACGAACGATCCGAGAGAGACAGAGAGACATCGCGCGACGCGGTCCGAATTTTGTCTGTCTTTCGTAAATAATCGTCATGTGCTGGGTTTGTGTCCGATGGCGCGGCCTCGAGTAGCGATTTCGCAAAGCGATCGTTACGAAAGTGCATTGTTCGAGCGTATAATGTCAATTGCGTGACACGCAATTAAAATCTCCGCATCGTTTTATCATAGTGATTGTTATAACGAATGAGAAAAACGAGCGTAAACAGATACAACAGATTTAATTGACCAAGTGTCACATATATCACTGTACAAAGATCATTATAAAAAATCTCGCACGAACGAGTCTTCTTAACATTCAAGTAGTCACGTGGATTTTTGCGAATCTGTATATTTGTAATGACGTTTGTCGAAAGAATCGTATAATTTTGTGATTAAGAGAATTAATAAGAATATTCGAGCTTGCCAAAAATTCACAAAATTTATTCTGCCTTACACTAATCTTTATATGTATGGCTGCTTTTATTACTTCTGATTTATATTTCCGCGAGATTCTTTCGCAAATCGTCATCGTAAATAACTTGTGCGAATCTATACTTGAATTTGTATTATTATACCAGTAAACTCGTGCGCGCGTATATCTATTGTACTTATATCTGTGATGACTTAGAATTCTTCCCTACGATTGAGAGACGATTGTTCGATAAATTCATAGATTATAACTGATTCAAGTGCGAGATCCCTGCGAGAAAAGCCACAATTTTTCTATCTTAAATATAAATTTAAAGAGAATAACACAATTGGCACTTTCGTTATGAATCATTTTTCTTTTTTAACACGGACCGGTAGTGTCTTATAAGTTTTAAAAGCATAGTTTGTAGGGGATAAAAGACAAGATGGCTTATAATATTATATGAGATAAGCCGCGTTAAAATGAAAAACATTTCGTTGTAATTACATTCTTGTTTCACGTGTAGATTTTGCTAAGACAATATCGATATATTTATACACACTGTATTTATAATATATAAATAAATTATTGTTATTGATATACCAATTTTTGATTATATATATACATATATATATATATATACATATGTTCTATATATAGCAGGCTTGCTCAACCTTTAATAAAGTGTGATCGAATTTCATGACCGATAGACAAACATATTAAGCTAATTATAATAAGAATAATGTCGCGATCTACGGGTTGGGCAGATCTGCTCCATAGATATAATTATATAATAATGTCTATGCGTGTGTATATGTGCGCGTATGTGTAGATCAATAGATTTATTAATTTCGTTTATGATGATTTAATTTAATCTTATTACTCAAGTTCTGTGGCGCGTTTTGCGGAGATAATAAAATAACGATATTGCAATTTTTATCTTTAAAAATCATATAGATCCTGTGTGTATCCTTCGTACAGTGCCAATAATTGCTTTATTTAATCGCGAAGATTCCTAGAATAGGTCTCCTCATACCTTTGCGACATTCGCACTCGTTTATGTAACTTTGAATTGCGAAATTTCTGTTGTTTCTAGATCTTCGTGCCATGTTCGCTGCATACCACTTGGAATCGCTCGATCGTGCATTGCAGTGTTTGTAATTCGCGATAATATTCCCGTGTGTGTGCAGCTTCGACAAGGTAACCGACAATGTTTGCCGAAAGTTTGCCGTGAATGTTTTACGATCCCCGCAATGGTTTTCGCCGGATGTACGTAACAAGTCGTTTATATTTTCGCAATTCTCTCTACGCGAGAACCTATTGCAAAGATTTATAAGATATAAACGTAGGTAAATGTAGGTTTATATACACTGTGTCCAACGGCGCAGGTGACGAGAAAACAAATCACATTGATTGAGCAATCGCAACTATCTCAAGTCTCGCCATAATTACACAATTATCATGAAATCCATCAATAATGCGGTAACTTCCTACAGCTATTTTTATGCTTATGATTCGACAAGATTTGCATAGATATCTATTTAGAAATTGTATAAAATATTTTTTTATTTTGTTGGCATTTAAATATTTGAATTGACATAACGTTTAATTGAAAATTTATTTTGCCATATAAAATATCCGTCAAAAATTTGAAAATTTTATTCTACCGTAATTCTTTTTTAATATTCGATGCAGAGAGAAAGAGAGAGTGATATATATTTTCGTTCTCCCATTTCATTCATATATGATTTAATGTCACTATGCGATAAATGAATCAGGCGTTCTTAATTAAGTTGTCGAAAATATAGTGTGGGTGCGCTCCACTTATTCACCTCGCCTCGCAGCCGGGGATCGCTAATTGCATCAATTTCGGCGAATGTTAATGAACATGTACGTACGCGAGGGCTAATTCGATTCAATTGCTCGCGAATTCGAATGCAAGTCGGCCGTGTCACGGTGCGTCATGTCCAATTAAGAGCGATATTCGTAATAAAATCGGCTGTCGTATGCTTATGTCAACGGTGGTTGGACGCGTAGTTTCTATCGGATGATCGTACGAGGAAGAGATCCAAGCAAAACAGGATGACAAATTTTTAGCTGAGAGACATTTCCACGAAGCTTCGCGAATCTCTTATTTCAAGAACCCTCGGTTGTGCTTTAGTTTATTGTGCAACAAAGGACCTTATACAAAGCGGATAGCATAGGAAAAACATAATCACGAACCGTAACTCGAAGAAAAAAGGAGAGGAAATATATTCCTTTACAAATACTTTCCTACGTCTTTATTCTCAACCGGAAAATGTTACAACGAGATCGTTAGAGTTTGAAAGAATCTCCACGAGCGAAATGTGAGCTAGATCGCGTAAAGGATGAATAAAAATCTTCCGAGAAAAAAAAAACGTCGATTGATAAAATTGTATCTTCTTTTAATAACACAAAAAAGGCAAATAAATTAGCATTAGCAGCTTTACAAAAGGCGTCGTGAAAGGAATGTGTAAGAAGATAAACAATCATATTTCGAACATTCTGACGTTGATTCTCGACGAAAAAAGGAAATCTTTTGCATATCTCTATTAGAAATAATAATTTGCAGAATAATTCGCTGAATAATCTATGATGATTGAGAAAGATAAAATTGTCAAAATTTACATAGACTAATGTATCAATATATCGTTATTATCTTCTCATACCATATGTTTCTAATTGTAACATTAATAATCCGCGAATAAAAAAGTATGCAGCATCAATACTGTTGTAGCAAAATTAGATTACACGATTACCTTGATTACTCTGAAAGTGGTGTTAAACCGAAGGATAAAAGAGGTGAAAGTCGATAGATATATTGAAGTAATCGGCTCACTGTTGATCAAACAGATCGCAAAACTCTTGGACGGATGTGACATTTTTTAGACTCGCAGAACACAGTGATAAGAGCAATTGCAATCGAAAAATGATATTATTCCGGTTTCGCATGATAATCGCTATGCCAAAGTGAGTTGTTGCGCGTCGATGAAGTAATACGAAGACGAAAGTGAGAGAAGTCATATCACGAAGTCGAGAAAGTGCAAGTAAACGAAACGGACTTTGCATCATAATTGCTAGTTTTAGCTCGTAATGTGAAGATACGATCTGTTTCGCTACCAGTATAGTGTAATACTGCCTGATTATTGCACGTATATCGCCTGATCTTTCGAGAGCATTTAGGTAAAAGTTTTACGGTATTTATTGCGTATAAGTTGATTAAAATCAACACGGTAACATATTTTATGTATTCAACGAGTCGAAAAAGTAATTCATGAAATGACGCATGTGCATATATGTTATTGTTCCTTTAATAAGGGGTTTAAGCTTCGTGAAGATGCTTAATTTCGCGATAAAAACATAATATAATATAATAAAAAATTTTAAATTTAATAAATGTAATTTGTATGTACAAAGCAATACGCGTGCTGTAAATTATATATTAGTCTATTCTAATCAATGCGGATTATATGCGTGATGCGATATCTTTTAATTGCACACAATAATTCATTTCTATAAGAAATCATTAAAAGAAGAGAGTTTATATCGCTATTCATTGCCTGCATTAAAGTATGCTTCGCAAAAATTGGAGTAATAAACAAGATGTTATCAAATATGTGTAATGCGAAAGTACTTATCAGTTAATTAGTATTGTTACCCTGAGGAGAAATAAAAAGACCTATTTCAGTTAATTATATGTTACAAACATGTAACGCAAAAATACTTATTAGTGAATATTTTTACGCTATGTGTGTGTTTCTCTCTCTCTCTCTCTCTCTCTCTCTCTCTCTCTCTCTCTCTCTCGTTCTCTCTCTCTCTCTCTCTCTCTCTCTCTCTCTCTCTCTCTCTCTCTCTCTCTCTCTCTCTCTCTCTCTCTCTCTCTCTCTCTCTCTCTCTCTCTCGAGAGAGAGAGAGAGAGAGAGAGAGAGAGAGAGAGAGAGAAACAGAGAAACGGGGCGCACGTGCGAAACGGTACGCGCCGAGAGTTGGTTCGGGTATTTAACAACTCGTGGCCGAACTTCTTCGAGGAGTTCGTAAATGATGCGGGACGATTGGAGCGCGACTGCTTAAGTTCGGTCACCGGGGAAAGAAGGAGGAAAGGGTGCGTATTTTTTTTCTCTGTGTGTGTGTCTCTCTCTCTCTCTCTCTCTCTCTCTCTCTCTCTCTCTCTCTCTCTCTCTCTCTCTTTCTCTTTCTCTCTAATTTTATTAAAAATTAAAGTAAATTAAAATTGTAAATAAATAATAAAAATTATTAAACTTTAAATCTGCATAATGATCAACGATTATTTGAAGCACAGAGTCAAATAAAAAAAAAAAAAACCTCTGAGAGCAAATACTTTAAATATCACATAGATATCTGAACTCTTTGGCTTGCACTAACCTGAATGATCTCGCTTAGATCTTTTTGTGAGAGTGAAGAAGCGATATTTTTTAGACAATCTTAAAAATTCTGCGATTATTTTTCCTTGTTTTGTCTCTACAGTTTCGTTTCTGTATCGTTTCTAATCTTTGACAGGTGTTTTAATTGTATTTCTTACGATTAGTAATTGGTTTGTAGGTGTTAAAAAACTGTTACCTGAGTTTTGGTGAGTGTGCTACGAGCAGTTAAATTACGCGGCGTCCCTCGTGGCGTGCTACTACCCGATGGACAATAACAAAGTCGTGACGCGGTCGAGGGGGGGCGCGCATCGCCCTGACACGGCATCGTCGACATCATTTCGTGATAAAAACACCGCTTCCGTACTCCTTTGCTTCGCCTGCGGCGCCTGCTTCGTTCTGAGTTTAATCTGCATTTGCTTAGCGACGTTGGTCGTTCTGTTGGACCAGGCTGTTGAGGCGACGAGTTATCAATTCGGTGAGAATATAAAGAATTTTTTGTCGCGATATGTAATTTACAATACATCCCACTTGTGATGTTATACGTGTTTCAAACTTGCTCCATTTGAGCAACTATTGTAGTTGTTCTCTATGATCGTAACGCTTTCAGCAAAGATATTTTGCACAACTTATGGCGCGTATGCAATTAGTGGTCAGCTGATTGTCGTGCGAATCACGAGGTCGTTTGGCGGTAAATTTGAAAACCTCTTTGAACTTACAGCTATTTTCCGTTGTTTCTCGGATGCTATTTTGAACAGCGAAAAAACTTTTTTTTCCCTCTGTATTTTAGGCTTCCTTGAGGCCATGATACCTAAAAAAGTTTAGTCGTAACCGTAAGGACGTAAGCAAATTGACGAATTACAGTCAAACATTTTTATTTCCTTGTAAGACGGTCTTACGGTTATGACCAAAACTTTTTTACGTATCATGGCTTTTAGAGTTCTTTGTAAGACAAACAAGTCACTGCTTGTTTCTCATAGAGATGGATAGATTAATCTGTTTTGCTCGATATCTCTCTTTTTTAAAAATAAATAAATCTTATCTGCACACGATTTTTTTTTACCTACACTCGGGGCACAAGAAAATATAATAGATTGTATATATATCCATCGCATTAAGAATTTTTGTAATACGTTTCTAGAGCCATTTTAAATTTGTTTCCAAACATACTTTTGTTGACAATTACTTGACATTGCTAGAATAATTCTTTAGAAGAGTTTATCAACAAAATTACCTGTTTGAACTTTTCTATTGGTTAGAGTTGTGTTGTATATTATAGATAAACATCTGATCAATAAACTCTTATAAGAGATTACTTTCATAATGTCAAGTAGCCTTTCGTTATAGCGACAAAATTTAATGTTCAATTTTAGTGATTAAATACATACAGTTATTTAAATTTAAACAAGTGAGTGGACTAATCGTAGCGGCGCTTCAGTTTCGCGATGTTTTGCTGAACAGCTGATCTGATCAGCTGAAAGAAACTTATCACGCGCCATAAAACGCTTTGCATATGGCAGCTCGTTATTTCACATGATAATTTGTGCGTTAAATCTGGCATAAATATCTGCCATAAATATCATCACAAATAGTTCATAATGTTCGCTTTCTGAAAATACGCTGTTCTTAATGTTTCTTTTTAAACTTTTAGACTCAATCAGTAGTCAAATCTTTCTTTCAACTTCTTTGTGGAAAATCGGCTTTACATACCCTCATTAGTTGTGTCAACACATGTGATATTAGCAATACAAATTAATAAAAATTGCTAGTTCTAGACTATGCACTGATATTTATCTGTATACATATATATATATATATA